CTCTCTCTCTCTCTCTCTCTCTCTCTCTCTCTCTCTCTCTCTCTCTCTCTCTCTCTGTGTGTTTTTTTTTGTGTGTGTGCGTTTTTGTTTTTGTTTTATGAAACCAATGATACAGAACAACCAATGCGCACCGGGTGGTAGTAACTCTCTGTCTGTCTCCTTCTATCCGGAACTCAGTTCAGAGAGTTGTCAGGAGTGTCGGCCAGAATGTAGAAACAGAGGTCTACACGTTTGCTGATCTCGTCTCTCCTGGGGCATCGATGCTCACGAGCCGTTGGTCTCTTCCCTCTCTGCCCTCCCCTTTCCTCCCTTCCATTTCTACGTCATCGTTTTCTCCTGCTCTCAAGTTCCTCCCTCCTTGCTGATCCCCTCCCTCCTGTGTGGATTATAACCACGGCCCTCTCAATGCCTTCCCTCTCTGCATCCCCCATCCATCGTCTTCCATGTTCTCCCCATCTCATGTGCATACCACGATTGTCTTGCCATCACCCCTTATCGGGCAACGATGGCTCCTTCCCAACTCCTCCCTCCTCACTGCTCGAGTTCCTCCCGCTCTTCTTAGACGTTTCCTTCCTGCCCGCTCAACTTCCTCCCTCCTCCCTGCTCAAGTTGCTCTGCGTCTGTACTAGTCCAATTCTACTTGTGTCCCTGTCTGTACTAGTCCAATTCTACTTGTGTCCCTGTCTGTACTAGTCCAATTCTACTTGTGTCCCTGTCTGTACTGGCCCATCTAGAAGTCGGTGTGGTACCCAATTTCAATCATGTCCCTGCAGTTTACTCTTCCCGTTCTCTGGACACAGAAAACACAGCATGGCTATCATCACTCAGAGACTTAGATACATGCAAGCAAACAGCAATCTCACACAGAACGGGGAAGTCTCAGCAAGTCAGACCAAATCTCAGACTGTTTCTGTGCGGGTTATTGCACCTCCCTCTCTCCCTCCATTGCTTCTCTACCTTTTTCTCACTTCTGGTTATTCACTGCTTGCTCTGGGACTGCGTTGACTGCTTCATGACTTCTTCTGCATTGTAACTGCTTTCGCTTTGAGCGCAATGCGACTATTTGCATGATAGTTTTGTCAAAGCTTCTCATGATTGTCAGGCTCACACTCATGCATGACCCAAACTGAATTGTCGAGACAACTGCGGCAATATACACAGACATATCCTTAGCAGAATGCATATTCAAATCTTCTGGACACTGATGCATTGTGGAGAAGATCAGGAGAGAAGACATGTTTGCACTCCATCTCAACACCTGCGCAAGCAAGGTTATTAATCCTATTGAAATTTGGTGTGGCCATGTTCATGAAGAGGACTCGGTTGTTGAAATGTGCCAACGCCTCATCGCAATAATGTACACTGGCCTCTGTTTTAGCCAGAGGAACAAGAGGGGAAGAAAGTGGGCAAAC